GTGATGGGCGCATTTTTGATCGGAGACGATACCGATTACTTTTTTTGGCAATTTTTTTTTGGATCCTGATATCATTACTTTTAGTGATTTTTTTTTTTTTTTTTACCCAATAAAACACGTGACAAATACTGACCAATTAACAACCGTAACATTTTAGTTCTAAAAAATTACATTACATCATTTGATCACCATGTCACCTAAATAGTTTAATCAATACCATTAAGGGACATAGATGTCAAGTGGACATTGCTGTCCTGCTCTGGTCAGTGGTCACACGACACTTTTTGAGTATCGTAATCGATACTCAGTTGATAGTTGTGTGAGTATCGATATATATATATATATATCATTACGGCATAATCAGTCCTGCCATCTTTACCACAGGGAGTACAATTGTGATGGATCTGACTTAATAGTTATTCCTAATTCATCTGAAAACAAGTGAGAATCTTAGTTGTTTTGTTCAATGGGTATTTGATTTGATTAATTATTCCAAATAATAATTTAATTTTTTTTAATCGTTAATATAGTATTGTTCGAATTTTTACTAGTAATTCATTTCACTGACATCATTAGAAGGACACAAATGAGGCTATTAAATACAAATTTGTAAATAGGACACTTATTGTGATTTACATGATTTTTAATATATGTTTTATATTAGATTAGATTTTTTTTTTTTTTTTTTTTAGGTTTCTTTTCACCCCTTGCTTGAGATTTTTCTTCCGCGTAATACTTAAAAACATTATTAATGAACAGCTATGGATTAAGAAGCAGCGTTTGGTTTCATGTTCAAGTTCTGTCCACACAAATACTCAGTGGTGGACCAGGTTATAAAATCAGATGCTGTTTTTTTCTCTCAGTGGAAAAAAAAAAAAAGAAAAAATTCGGAGAGTTTTTGGATAGATATCCTGGTAAACATTGATCGGAGTCTTCTGGCGCTGAATTATTTACACCTGTCTCTTACTCACAGTCCAGCCAAGTGGGTCGGGCGCATTAACCGAGTCAGAGTTCAGCAGCACAGTCATCCTTCCAGCACCGTCTGTCCAAATTCGCTGCAGCAGATACTCACTGAGCGCTGACCCGCGTGCCGTCGTTGACGTTTAAAGTTTAACCTCAGAACTGTAGCCGTCTCTGCAGCTGCCGCAGCTTCTCCGAGTCTTTCTCTTCATCTTCGTCTGAGATGGCTTGAGCACTATTTAAAAAAATCGTATCTGTAGTTATAGAGCAGATGTTGAATTGAGTTTTGAAAAGAAAAGTACAGTCGCTGACCTTTTTGTATAAAGAGGTCAAATCTATGCTCTGCCAGGGTCATTTTTTTTTTTTTTTTATTAAATGTGAGAAGACGACACGGCATTATTAAATTAAACTCTTGCGACGTGCGGATTGTGAAGAACACTCAAGGGTACGAAGTACGAATTTTTTTTAAATTTTTTTTTAGACAGCAACAGTTTGCACGGTGCAGAAAAAAAAACCATGGGAACTAAAATCATATTAAAGTGTGAGAGAGAGGTTTTCTCAGGACAGGCTGATAGCGTAGTGTGGAGATGGATTTTGCTGCAGAAAGGTATAGAGATTGAAAGTAGCAGGCCCTTATTTTCAGAGCAGCAGTCGGTGAAGGGGAGGGGGGAGAGAGGGGAGAACATTTTGTTTTGAGTATAGAAAGTCAGAAGAATCCAAATTTCACAGTTCGATCTGGTTTCAATTACCGCACCGTGGACGCAGAATGTATGTTTTTAGAAGACGAGGGAGAGGTGGAAGGGCGGGGGGGGCGGGGGGGGGAGTGGGAGGTGAAGGATGAGAGTCTAACGCGTAGGTGTCAAACTCATTTTGATTTACGGGCTACATACAACCTATATTAGATGTCAAGTGGGCTGGACCAGTACAATCATAACATCCATGTTTTTTCCCTTTGTTCAAGTATGTTGGATTAAAATCATTGTTATTTAGTCATATTTAATCAAATATTTACAAATATACATATATAAATATACATAAAAATATACATAAATATACATATTTACAAAAAAATATCCTGAACAATTTTATTTTTTTTTTTTCAAAAATTATCAAACGGGCTGGTTTTGGCCCGCGAGCCATATGTTTGACACTCCTGGTCTAAAGTGATAACTATAAAGGGCAAAAAAGAGTCATCTTTGAAGTGGTAAAAAACAAAAACAAAAAAACAACTGAACTGGACAGAGCAAGGCTTGATAAATGGGCTGTTTATGTTGCCTTCACTGTGAATGAGGCAGTATGTAAGGATATCTCTCTCTCTCTCTCTCTTTCTCTTCCTCTTGTTCCCTGACTTTGAGCTCAGGCGTTTTGGCCTGAACACTTGGTGCGTTCACTTCGATGTTCACTGCCAAAGGGTGGGACAGCTCCCTGGGTCCTAATGGCTTTCACAGCTGGGTCTCCCCTGCTATAATCAAGTTTTCATCCAACATCAAAAAGACACACCTTCCACTTGGCCACGTTCGCTCTTCCACCTAGAAGGAAATCGACACTTTTGGCCTCACATAAAGCCCCGGGCTATCGCTTTGCCTCTGTATTTTTTTTGTAATAGTTTTCCCAGCTCGTGTGTTCTTCTTGATCTGCTAGCCTGGTGACATTTACCCAAGCTTTTTAGGCAAACCAAGGAAGTGTGTGCAGATCCTTTCGGCTTCACGGCTGTCAGAGCAGCAGATCATTACCTGCAGCTCAAGCTGTAAAAGATGTTGGCCACGGTTCAATGATATCAGATGATTCAATATATATATATATAGTATCTCCGATATCATTGTCCATCAGATTTTTACCTCCTTATTCTCCTCCAATCATTGTAATTGGGAGTATTGACCAGTACTACATCCCGGAACTCATTTTTCTGTTCAGTGGCCACATACAGTCTGATTAGATGTCAAGTGGGCCGGACCAGTGCAATCATGACATGATTACCTTTAAATAACAATAAGTCCAACAGTACAAGTATATTAGATTAGAAAAAAATATTCATAATTAATTAAATATAATTTGACATCACGAACATGTAAATGTTTGTGCATTTTTTCAATTTCAAAATTCAATGTTTTGTTCACTTTCAAAATTCATCAAGCGGGCCGGATTGAGACACCTAGCGGACCAGTTTTGGCCCACGGTCCGTATGTTTGACAACCCTAGAATATGCAGTGAGTCAGCAGAGGTTTAGTAAATATCAAACTTTGAAAAAAAAAAACAACTTGTTGTCTTGGTTGTAAAACTCTGGTCAAAAACTAGTTTTATTATTACTATAGTTTTATTACTTACTTAAATACTTCCAACAATACGGAGCGAGCTAAGTTTGTAGCATCTGTACAAAAAAAATATTGATATTCGTGGTGTTGTGCCTGTTGTTATTCGGTAATCTTCTCAGATCGAGTTATAGAGATCAGGACATTCCCACTGGCTAGCTAACAACATTTCCCCTGTTCTGTGGGGCTGTACACCTCCAGCAATGTTGACTGAACTTAATATATATACGTATATATACAAGATACAACACAAAATTTGGGAAGTGCAAGTTTGAAACCTACATACAAGATACAACAAAAAATTTGGGAAGTGCAAGTTTGAAACCCACATTCTGTTCCCTCTTTTCCTAGGACCACTGGTTTTGGAGGGTAAGAGACAATGCCGTCATGCCAGGCTATCCAATGCTAATCAGCGTTTTCTGGAGGGGCCTTCCACCAAAGATAGATGCCGTCTACGAGAACAGCGAGGGCAAGTTCGTCTTCTTCAAAGGTAAGATCTCGTCTCTTTGTCAAACTCTCATGGTCAAACTTCCACGTGGTCCTCGAGCAGCAGGTTTAAGATATCAAAATCCGTCTGCGATGCGCTACTCTCCATTAGCTTTCTAGCTCATTGTAGTGTATTACTCATCCACTTGAATTCCTGGATATAGTTGTTATCCACGTGCCTTTATTTATTGTCTGCCCATTGTCCAAATGCGTCTGTTCGACCCGAGAAACAAAGAAAAGCTTTTTTTAATCAAGGTATGGAACCGGAATCAGTCTCAGAACCACCTCGAAAACACGTGTGAGTTCAGAGAAATCTGCATTTAATACAACAGTGAAATAATTTGGATAGAATGTGCGCATTTTTTTTACAACATTCAAGACTAAATTGAAAGTCATCTGAGAGTTAGACTAAAAATTCCCAACAGAAATGTTTGTGTTTTTATCACAGAATTGTTCTAGTATATGCAGACGACTGTTCCTTTGTGCACATAAAACTCATGATTTTTTTTTTTACTCTTGCTTTCATGGCAGCCTGAGATGGCACAGATTTCGAAAACTCCCACCAACTGAAGAACATTCTTCATCCCACTGCAAATTTCCCAAAATATTATATGACCATGTTCTGCCTGTACTATTTTGGAATACAAAATTAGGGAGCCCATATGTCAGAATTCAAAATCGAGCAGAAATGAAGTTCCTTGTTGTAGTAGGTGCTCGCTTTCAATCCCTACAGTACAAACTGTGTACTGTAACAAAGTCTCGGTGAAAGACAGTATCACTTTAGAATGCTGATTTATTTTGAAGGGGGGGGGGGGGGGGGGTTATTTCTCTTTATTCGTAGATCGAAAAGAATCGTAAAAAACCCCGACTCTCCTCGGGGACTGTTAGCACATCTGTTCAACAAAGATTACAGCCATGAAAGCAGCCAATTTATTCCTAACAAAACTATAAAGAGATGCAGATAATAAACAGGCCGGGCCTTTCCGTTTGCAGCTGGGCCTTAAGAAATGCGGGCTAAAATTATCGCTATCAACATCCAATTCGACAAAGGCGGTTCGAGAAACGGGATGATGTCTGTACACGTGTGTGCAATTCCTTGATTGCAACTGGCGACAGTTCAGCAGCAAGTACGTCGGCAAACAAACGAACAGTCGCTCATACGATCAGAATACACTTTTATTTTTATTACGGTGCCATTTTCATTTTTGCGGTTATTGTTCCATTTCAGGCATGTGGTTTAGATTGGACGCCAGTTGGTTGGTCATCACGTGAACCCCTTTTTTTCTTCATTAAAAATTTTGACAATACCGGCGCATTGAATATTGGCAAAAAGCTAATATTGGACATCCCTATATATATATATATATATATATATAT